CAGCTCACTACCCATGGCGGTTCGCCCGCGGCGTCCTGAAGGCCTACCTGAAGACGACGGCGACCCCCGGAGAGCACACGGCCTTTGCGGTGGCCAAGACCGGGGGCGGGCCCCCGAAGGACGAACCGGGTCTCGATGAGACAGAGCTGGTTCCAGATGAGGAATGGCAGGGCTCGCGTGGCATCACCTTCAGTGAGCAGATCCCGGCCAAGTGGGCGGCAATCTGCAAGAAGCTGCACCAGATCCTCGGGCACCCGCCCAACGTCGAGCTAGCCCGCCAGCTGAAGTACTCGGACGCGGATGAACATCTTATCCGAGCTGCGAAGTGCCTGAAGTGTCAGACGTGCAGCAGATGTACGAAGCCCGGAACCCGACGTCCAGCTCGACCAGCTACGCTGATGGACTTCGGAGAGGCGCTCGCTATGGACGTGATCCACTTCGGTGACTCTGCCGGGAACAAGGTGAAGGCGCTGAGCATGGTGGACATGGGATCCACCTATCATGTGGTGTGCCCTCTGCAGAGCACAACTTCGGCGGACATCACGCAGGCATACCACATGTATTGGGCCTCCTGGGCGGGTCACCCACGGTTCATCCTCATCGATTTGGACAGCGGGCTCAAAGACCAGTTCCTCAGCATGGCGACACTGGCGCGCACATCCGGAGCATCGCGGCCCAGGCGCATTGGCAAGGAGGACTGGTGGAGCGGCGCAACGCAAGTTGGAAAGCCATCTGGGAGAAGACCTGCAAGCACGAGGTGATCCTGCCAAGCGAAGTATCCCTTAGCATCACGGCAGTGAACGGTGCCAAGAACTGCTTGCGGAACCGGGATGGTTGTGCTCCTCGGCAATGGGTCTTCGGTTCAATGCCTCGGGAGGTGGGGGACATCATGGAGGAGCCGGACTCCTTCGAGACCCTTAAGGTGACCAAGATGTCGCGAATCAACGCCATCCGGATGGGAGCCAAGGCATTCAGAAGCACGAGTTCGCGCTGGGGGACCTGGCGTACTACTACCGGGAGTATCGGGCACCAAAGCGCACCAAAGCGGTTGGACGCTGGTTCGGCCCTTGCTCGGTGATAGGATATGAGGGGAATAACATCTGGCTCAGTCAGGGCGGCCGGTGTTTGCTCTGCGCCCGAGAGCATCTTCGACCAGCTGATCATGAGGAGGTCAACGCCCTGTTCCGCCTGAAGACATCCCTGGCCGAGGTGGATGCGGTGATGCGGAACCAAGACTTGCAGGAATTCATCGAGGCGCAGGGAGTTGACGTGGAGACCTTCAAGCAGATTCAGCTCGAGGCGGAGGAAGTGGATCCTACGAATGAGGACACGGTGATGGATGAGAGGCGGGGTTTCACAAGGCGGAGGAAGAGTCTGGACGACGTGCCGCAGCCAATGCAGAAGATCCGGCGGTCCTCCTCAGCGAAAGGTTCTGGACGGGCTTCCTCTGCACGCAAGTCTGCCGTGCGAGAAGTGATGATGGTTAAACGGGGCAGCAGCGAGAAGTCCAAGGACAAGGCTTTGGAGAAGGAGCTCCCCTGGCAGCGCATTCCCGAGGAGGAGAAGCACCTCTACGTGGAGGCAGAGGTGAAGCAGTGGCAGGAGCACGGCCGTGCGACCGCTCTCGATCGCGGAGTCTAACTGGGTCCGGGAGAATGTGGCGAACGACCGGATCCTGAACTGCCGCTATAGCAAGGCCGCGCCGGATGCTGGAATTCCTTGTAAGCCGAAGGCGCGCCTCTGTGTCGGTGGACACATGGACCCGGACATCGGGAAGGTGGAGAGGCAATGTGACGCCCCGACTGCGACGAGGACCAGCCTCATGTTGACGTTGCAGAAGTCGCTCAACGAGGACTGGGAGGTCTGCGCCGCGGATGTGCAGGCTGCTTTCTTGAACGGCATCCCGGCGGGACGCAATCTCTACTTCCGCCAGCCGAAGAGGGGGATTCCGGGCCTGGAACCCCACCAGCTCGTATCCATTGAAAAGGGGGTGTTCGGGCTCTCTACGAGGTCAAGGCTTTGGTGGGAGAAACTTTCCAAGGACTTGGAGGTGGAGGGGGAGACGCTGGTGGTGAAGCACAACCTCATCGACCCCTGCGTCTTCGAATTCCGGACCCTGGATGGTGAGGTCCGGGCCCTGCTGTCTCACGTGGACGACTTGCTCCTGGCTGGTCGGAAGGCTATCAACGAGGCGGTCCGCCAGAAACTGGACGCGGATGTTCCCCATTGACGAGTGGAACTTTGGGGACTTCGACTATGTCGGGAGTCACCACGACCTGGACGTGGAGAAGGGCACGATCACCATCACACAGAAGGACTACATTGATGGGCGGCTTCAGAGGTTGGACTTTGACAAGGAGGCAGATGAAGAAAAGGAGGTGGACGGCGAGCTGAAGGCGGACAACCGCACGGTGGTGGGAAGTCTCAGCTGGCTCGCGCTGCAATCCAGACCTGACCTCCAGATAAGAGTGGCGGAAGCACAACGTCATCAGAACGCGCCCCGCATCAAGCACCTCAAGGAGACCAACGCTCTGGTGACCCAAGCCGGAAAGTTCCAGGGCGAAGGCATCACCCTTCGGAAGATTCGACCGGGCCGGGAGATCTTGATCGCCTACCACGATGCGGCCTGGGGAAACGTGGAACTGGAAGGTGAACGCGATGAAGAATGAGAGGGAAAGTTCCTGACCGGCTCGCAGCTCGGGGTCATGATCTTCATGGCGGACAAGGACGTCCTGAACAAGGAGGGAGGCCCAGCCAGTCCCTTGACCTGGATGAGCAAGGTGTGCAAGAGGACCTGCCGGTCCACGTTTGCGGGTGAGACTATGGCGTGTTGCGAGGCTTCGGCGCATGCTGTTCCTGCGGGACCTGTGGAGCAGTTTCCAGAAGTCCGAGTCGGGCGTGATGGACTTCCACCTCATGACCGACTGCCGCTCCCTGCATGACCACATCCACAGAGCGGGAGCACCAAAGGCACCGTCGGAGAAGCGGCTGGCCATCGACCTGGCATGGCGAGCGGGAACATCCAGATCCCCTAAAAGTTCAACAAGCAGAAGTGCTGCCTTGTCAACAGAAATTGGCTCTATTTTGGAGCTGTGTGAACATGTTAGCGTTTGCATGAGGGAAACAATCCCCGACTGGCCTTTAGGCCCACGAGCTGAAAGGTAGGAAAATGCGCTCCCGTGCTGTTTCGCATGATCCTGCCTGCTCTACGGCATCAACACCAGGTGACAAGCACTCGGCACCAATAGATGGACGATTATGCCTCAATGGTCCCCTTGCCAACATTACAATTATAGCGTCCTTTTATGAGTTTATCAGTCTCAAGAACCGCGCACCATATTGCCGTCGCTTGCTTCTTTTCTGCAAGAAGCCACAAGGAATCCAATAATTATGGAAACCCCGTCCCTTCATTGGGATCCTATAACATTCCCATCCAAACTCCTTCAGTTTTGACACCCAACACCACTGTAGGCCCAACAGCCACCAAAGTCGTCGGCAGTTGGCGCAGGCAGTCTGGCTGTAATCAACAATACGGTTTGGGGCAAGACCTACATACACCGCATAGAAACGATGATGGGGCTTTGGGCGCTGCTGAAGTGGCAAAGGCAACACGCTGCGGTCAATGTTGAAGTCGCGGGGGTTTTTGTGGGGGGTGACTCCCCAAAAGTAAATGTCAGGGGAGCACAACGAATACTAACTTTGGCTCGACAAAATTGTATATATGTATATATATATATACATATGTTGGTGTCGATTTGTTTGCCTGAAAAGAAGCTGGAGAACCAGCCTTTTGGGTGGGTCCAACAATTAGAGTCGTGACTTGGTTTGTGACATCAGGAAACCTGCAAGCAGGGTGTTTTCCTTGTGGAACGCAGAACCAAAATGCGGCAGGCCCCTCGGCTACCCTTCCTTCCACGACGTTATTTTTCAAGTAGCTTGTAGGCATATAAATCGTCCGTACAGCCATGCCTCCAGAACCCATGCCAATATATATATATATATATCTATAGACCCTTAAGAGTAACACGAGCTCACCATGTCCTTGGCGGAATTTTCGTATTTCAGGCGTTGGAATGATAGCTCTGCCGGAAAGCTCGGTGCCAGGCCTCTGCGGTGACGGCGGAGGACTACGTCCGCGCCAAGGAGTTGAAGCGGCAGCTGGGGCTGCTGCGGATACCCGCGGAGCTGTAAAATGACCCATGGCCTGGCAGGGCTCGGAAAGTGCCTCAAATACTGAAATCCAGGGACTTCCAGAGGAAGCAAGAGGCCCGGTCCAGCCACAAACTTGAGGGACATTCCGATTCCGCAGATTTCGTCCGGAGAACATGTCACAAGGCACTGCTTGACGTTGCAAGTCAGACGAGAAAGGCCTCGCCCTCCCCGATAGGGATTGGTGCTCACGTGGACCGTGCACATTGATATACATAGTATACAATCCAGTGCACCACAATTCAAATTTGTTACTTCCCATGGATTCGCCAGGCTTCCTACCGGATGCTTTGGGTTGGTGTCTCAGCTAAAGATGCACCCGGACGAGTTTGGAGAGGTATCTATGGGGAAGCTAAACAGAAAGCAAATAGTCCCCGCCTCCCCCTAATTTTGGGTCACCCCCACTAGGGCACACTGACCATCACACAACTTGAAGGATGCCACAACTCGCAGGGAGAATAATGCATGCTGCTGTTTGCTGTCCCCCTCCCCCATTGTTTTTGGTCGCTTTTCGGTTTTTAAAGTACTGCCACTCGCAACACGCTTTATCATCAGGGGTTTGTGTGTGTGTCCTCATGTGATCCCGCGCTGCTATATTGGGCATTCTGGTGCTAACATGGGTGCCCGAACATTGCTGTTCTCCAGCCTTGTGTCAACATCATACGTCTATCATTTCTTCAGCATCAGTGCATGAACATCGGGCGCAGCTCAGCGGTGAGCCTTCTTGCACTTTCCTCCACGTGATTTCAAACAACCATTTGATCCATGTCCCTGGCCCACCCCCTCCGCAGGGATGCAGCAACAGAAGCCGCTGCAGTGCTGGACACTTAGTCCCTGAAGCTTGTTTAGGTTTAGGGTTTAGGTTTAGGATCTAGGGTCTAGGTTTTGGTTTAGGGTTCAGGTTTAGGTTTAGGGTCTAGGTTTTGGTTTAGGGTTCAGGTTTAGGTTTAGGGTTTAGGTTTCGGTTTAGGGTTCAGGTTTATGGTGTAGGTTTCGGGTCTAGGTCAATTACCTGCCCCTCTGCAGGCCAGCTGCTAGCGCGTGTCTGAAAAGCTCTCAAGAAGTATCGGCTAGCTTTGTCCGAACGACGCAAAAAGCAGCCGCCGTCTCTGCCTTTCGACGGGCCGCGCAGAGCTCGCTTGTGTGAGCCAAATTCGAGCACCCGGTGGCGAAGACAGCCAGCGCTTGAGGCGGCTAAGGCCTTTAGTTTCAGGTGTCGGGGCGTTGCTACGGGGCGTTGCTACTCACCAATAAAATCTATCATGACTGACATACGAGACATCACGCATCACATATCATATACACATGTTGTACTTCATATACCATTATCCTGTGTAATGTTGACCCCCCCCCCCCTAAATAATCTGGAGTTGAGTTTCCATTTGTTTGGTATTGCTGGAGCTCCCTTTTGAGATCTGGAATTGAGTTTCCATTTGATTTAGTATTCCTGGAGCTTCCTTTTGAGATTTGGAACTGAGTTTCCATTAGATTTAGTATTGCTGGGGCTTCCTTTTGAGATCTGGAATTGAGTTTCCATTTGATTTAGTATTGCTGGGGCTTCCTTTTGAGATCTGGAATTGAGTTTCCATTTGATTTAGTATTGCTGGGGCTTCCTTTTCAGATCTGGAATTGAGTTTCCATTTGATTTAGTATTGCTGGGGCTTCCTTTTGAGATCTGGAATTGAGTTTCCACTTGATTTAGTATTGCTGGGGCTTCCTTTTGAGATCTGGAATTGAGTTTCCATTTGATTTAGTATTGCTGGGGCTTCCTTTTGAGCTCAAGAAGCAGTGGGGGAAATGAGACCTGGGGGAGGCACCGGTCTAATTTGTTTTTTTGGCATCATTTTTTATTTGGGGTGGTTTTTCTGAGATATGAATTGTTTAGTATTGGGGGGGGTCAGCCGGACCGGACTAAATAGGGGTGGATTATTAATACAGGGTCAACATTAAAACATATCATATAGCATATGTCAGATCCCATATTTCATATGTCACATGTCATAGGCCATCCTTGGTTGCTCTTTGGTTAAATCACACAACGGTAGTTGGAACATGGCGAGAGTTCCCCGTGAAGTAGCAACAGCTTTGCAGGGGATCCCAAAAAAAGGAGCTTGCAAAAAGGAGATTCCTCTAGGTGTCAAGTGGTTTCCTGTTGTATCTTTCTTTCTTTGCACAAGTCACGTTGGTTCACAGTCTTTGGAGTGTACGCAGCAGGGTTGGGTGACCCTGGTTCCCTTGAGAGGGGAGCCCAATGCAGGGGTTGTTTGCGCGTGAGTGGGTTGAATTGCCCAAGCCGGTTTTCAACTGTTTCACAGTTCATTCCTTCCTTCAGGCAGGTGCTGCTGCATCAACTTGCCACCCGGTCACGTTGCTTGTTTTGTCGCTATCTACATAAACAGGGCCAGGGTCCGTATATATTTTGCTGTTTGGAAGATCAATGATTGCATCTTCTTGGCAATTTTAATGATGGTGCCTCAAATGGCGCAGTCTTGGCGGAACAGCATGACTTCTACAGGCGGAAATTGTAACTAGACCAGTAGACTAGTTGGAAGAAGCAACTGGTCGGGGGTGCGAGACTTGAGGCCGGATGCCGGCGGTGCAGGGCGCTTGGAGCGAGTTGAAGCGCTTCTCGGGTGCTCAAACAGAGGTTATGTTTGATACATGAAAGGCAACCAACGTGGAAGGGATGTTCAACAATAAACAACTCGGTCATGTTATCAGTTGTATGGCCCGACTTGGATTGCGCAAGGTGTGGGCTGGGCGGGAAATACGAAGACCCCTGTCAGGTCTTTTGCCCAGCCAAGTAAGTAGCCGAGGAACAACCCCCTTTTGGAGACCTCAAACCGGCGCATTTGATAAAGACAAGAAAGGAATAGACCAGAAAAGGAAGTGTTTTGGGGCCGCGGGGTGGTTTGGTCGCCTTGGCAACATCTCTATGATGTAAGTAGGATCAATGGTGGTTCCCTTACGAGTTTATGAGCAGGTGCCAACATAGGCAGAGCTCCGGAGTACGCGCTCAAGAGGCCACATTGTGCAGGCATTGACAGTGGAGTTGGTTCCAGCCTTGAGCGCAGACGAAGGACATCAAGTGGTCTCTGCGGTTCTGCCGCAAGTCAGGCGATCTCACTCTGGAATCAAATCAGCTCACACTTGATGAAGGACCTTCGATTGAGGCATTGGACACATCTTGCTGGCATTGTTTCGGATCCTTGTACTCGGATGCACCCAACATAAACATAAACATTCCACATAGCCTTGTCCTGTGAGTGTCCGCTGCTACTTTTTATCGGTATTTTGGCTGTGTTGCACCTTTCAATCCCGTACCTGTTGATTCAGCTTTTGGGACTTGCTGCTTCATGCTTTCCTGCCTGCTGCCTGTTCGCACCAGGGGTGCTTCCGCAGTCGGGGCCAAGGTGAAGCGACCCCTGGAGGGCTCGGACGAGGGGCCCAACAAGAGGCAGGTAGTCCGCGGCGGCACCCCCACATGGGTGTCCCAAAAAAGAGGGCGTCCCATTTGGATGGCTTTAACAAGGATCGTGTGTCTTTCGAAGTGCTTAGCTAGATTCATGTTTCGGGCGACCCACTAAACCAATCGGCTGCCAACCGGGCCCCAGGAATTGTTTGGTCCATGTGTTGGATGGGTACTTCTGACTGCTATCGGAAGTGAGAGTTGGAGGTTTTGCAATGAGACAGAAACAAAAAGCAAACACGCAGGAGCATGACGCAAGGAGGTCGGACACAAAAATGGTGGTTATCAACACTCTAAAGGGCTTTCAGAGACTGGGTGGCCTTCCTCCTGTTCGATGGGCTTGCTGTGGATCTCCTTGATAAGCCATCCAGTTGACACCGCATAGCCATTGGGGTGTGTCCCAAAAGCTTGTGTTTTTGTTTGTCTTTTATTTGATTTCCCTTCAAGCAACATCCAGAAAAGGTTCGCCATCTTGCGACACCCTCCCGCCTGCAACAAAGCCGCAGTTTCCGGAGGGCCAGTTTTTTTTGTTTAATCTCCGGGAATCCCGCAGCGGTGCGCAGTATGATCTTTGTGCTCGATGGATGGACCTGGCACCTCCAAACTTGTAGACTTGCGGACCATGGACCCATCCGTTCGGAGTTTTGGATCGAGAATCCAGGGCGAGCTGACATGGAGACTTTGAGAGTCCGAACGAGTTCGATGTTGTTCTCGTTCTTTTCGGAATTCCGCTTTTGTTGCATCATCCAATTCGACCAAGTTGTACCTGTGATGCTCGTGCTAGTAGGGAAGCCCTGAAACTCAAAATAGTTCAGTCATTGGCTATTGGTTTGACCGTTGTACTTTCTTTCCCCCGAGAACAATCCAACAACACAACTCGCAAGCAACACCAACAACAGCAACCTAATAACCAACAACAACCAGAAACAAACAGCACCAACCACCAAAAACAACAAAACACACACATCACCGCGCTTGTCTTTGCTGGTGGTGCGCAGGCAAAACACAGGGGCGATCACTTCCAAGAGCATGGCCCGGGGCCGAATGATGGGACTTCCGGGCTTGGTGTCTGTGTCTGTGCGCATGTCTTTGGTAGGACTTTAACTAATGGGTTTTCCATTAAACCACTAAAAGTTAAACTTTCAGCAGGGGAGCAGAAAGCAACCGAGGTGTGTCTGCGCGTACGCAGGTTCAACGGACATGTACCGGGCGATTCACTGTGGACTTTTCTAATTGAGAGACAGCAGAAGTCCGTTGCTGTTTGGTTCTACTTACGTGCACAACCCCTTCGCAGCCAGTTTGCCCGCAAGCATCCTTGCTTTCATTGCCCACTCTTTGGCGTTGCCTTGTCGTATAATGGTTGGTTCCACCGTGTGACCTTTGCTTAGGGTATGCAACAGGTAGAAGCCAGGCTAGTTTGAGGCGAGCACCTGCGCTTCGTGCTTGTGCTTCTACTGGCAACGCAATCACGCCATATAGGTATGGGTCACAATTAAACCACGAGAAGCCCATTGAAATGAGGTGTTTTATAACCTTTTCAATCTTGGAGATTCCCCCAGCAGCAAGCCCTCTTCGAAGTTCTGACCAGTATTAGTGGCAACTGAGGTCGGTTTGCAAAGCCGTATGGCCTAGAACAGGTGCATCAGTTGGAGCCCCAACCCAAAATTGACTTCCTTTGGCGTCTTGTACTTTCTTGGGTATGTCTTGGCGTAGAGTTTAACAGATCTCAACAGAAATCTCATACGCTTTCGCCCCCGGAAACACTCCGATCCGAGCAGACTAGTGAGAAGTTCCGAAGCTGAGGTTTGCTTGTTTCCAATTCCGACCCACCCACCACAGATGGATCGACAAAAAGAGATGAGAAATGGGTGGCCAGAGGGCTTTCAAGCCTAGGCGGCCGTCGCATCCAAGGCTGCATCCAAGGCGTGGGAAGTGTGGCGTTCAGCTGGGCCCCGGGGCGCCCTGAGTGCCGAGTTTCGGAGTTTTTGCCGACCTTCGGCTGCGCCGGGAGTCAAAGGAGCAGGAGCAACCACACCTCATTGTTGACAACCACCAGAATAATTATCGCCCGATGTTTGAGGCCCCTACCTCTTAGAGTTCATACTTAACCACGACTGAAACACTTGATCGTGGGAGGTGTCCCTTTCAGGAAACCTGTACGTTTGTCTAAAGGGTTGGGTGGGTATAGACGAGGGCATTGTGGGCGTTGGTTACAAGAAGTGTCGGCAGACGCACTGCATAGCAAGGTGCTCGATAGCTGTCAACTTCCCCTTTGACAAGCTGCACGGCATAGACATCCTTGCGCCAACCATGGAAAAACACGCTCCTTTTCCAAAAGGAACGTCATCGTATGCTTGCATATTTGCTTGGTAGGAACCTTGCATGTTAGTTTGTTTGCTTGCCTGTTTGTGTTTGTCTTGGTTTGTTTGTTGTTTGCTTGCTTGTATGTGTCACTTTGTTGTGTTGTGCTGTGTGCTTCATTCCTATGTTTCTTCGGTTTCTTTGTTTCCGGCCCGCGTTTTTACCATCCGTTTCTGAGCCAGGCCGCGGCAAAGAGCGCGGCCTGAAGCGGACCCTTTGGCATAAAGCATAAGACTCGGAAGGTACAAATGCTGAGGAGTGACCTAAGGGTAGTGTGGAAGCCAGTTTCAAGTTGTGGGTAATTATTGTTCAGGTTGCTTCAACTTATGTGTATACGGAGTGACCTGTTGCTGGGCAGGTAACTTGTGGATGATTATGTGTCGAAACAAGTTGGCTTTCCCTTGAATCGCACACGACAATTCGGTTGCCTTGTCAGATTGCACTCAGATTTTGCTCCAGGAACTGATTATTTGACCCATGACATCATCCGGTTCACAACCGACGGAAATCGAGAGTCGCGACGCTGGCAGAAAAGGATCGTTTCGTTGGGGATGGCGAGAGGGTTTTGCGACAGCCCCTTACCCTATAGCTGGGGCTGGGAGTACGCTCGGTGGTTTGGAGGTTTGGCTTGCTTTGCCAATTTGATTCCAACCACAACTGGGTGTCAAATTCGCCACCGCGAATCCAAGTCACCAAGTAGATGCTACTTGAGAGCAGTTCTTCACTTGGCTTCTTGTAGCGGGACCACTATAAAACCGAGCAGGAGTCGTTTTTTGGAGTGCAGTATTTTGGTTTACCGTGGCTCAGGTTTCTTCCACTGCTTCTTGTTTCAACCATTCCAAGGAGGCCCCCATTGAGTGGGTTCCTAGGGGTGGGCGCCAGCCTTGATATACCTTGACAGGATTCCTTGATTCTCTCTGTCAAGTCAAAGCAACTAGCTGCTCATGTCATGGCAACCCTGGCTTCCGACGACCAACCGCAGGCTCGCAAAGCAACCGATGGAGGCCACGAGACAAGACACGGTCTTGCCGAACCTCGCATAGAGCCATCAGATTTGTTTCTTTGCTTTTGCACTTTTGCAACGTGCTTTTGGTCCAGAGCTTGGGATCGGAGTTTCCGCCTGTGCCTCTCGCGCCATGTGCCTCTGGCGCCGGCCAAGACACCGATGCAGGCCAGGATGATACTTTGCAGGGCTTGTTTTTCGAACTCAACACGAAACGAGGCTTGCTTTGGGAGCGTGTCAATTAACATGTTTCAATCAAGCAACTGACACGTAGCCACTCACTCCCGTCCTCGAACTTTCTGGGAAGACAGATTTAGTGGCAAACAAAAAGGTTAGACTTGTGGCCAACCCACTCAGAAAGGAAGAGGGCTTCAAACAGTCCCTGAATGCACCCAATAAAACTCCAGTTGGTTGCGCAGAGGCCTCGGGTCCTGTGAGTGAAGCCTGGAGCGGGGTCCGGCCAATTTGAGTCAAGCTACAGGTGGTTTTACTTGGAATGCTGGGCCCACCAGGGTCAAGAATTAGGGGTAGGTGAAGCTGCCGCCCCTGTTAGAGGCACCCTGGTGTGATTTGGTGCCTTCTAAAATATGGGGCCCACGGAGTCGAGCAAACGGGCCCCAGACCAAAATTTGGGTTGTTCATAAACAATCCTTGGGGATTGGATAAGCCTCCACTTTGAACAGCGAAAGTGGAGTTCTGCAACCCGTGTGGAAAGTGAGACGGTTGTGCACCAAACCGTGTTGATAGATCCATGGGCACACTTGGAAAGCCATGAGCACTTCGGAATTACCCCGGACCTCCAAGCTGAGGAGGGCCGAGCATCGTATTCTGGGGCAACTAGTTGGGTTGGAACTCCTTTTATAGTGGGTGTTCTGGATTAAGCCAGCGCGGTCCTTGAAAACCAGCTCGCGCATTTCGGTGCCGACTCACTCACTCGGACAAACACAACACTTCAAGGCAAACCAAAACACAGTACCTCAAAGGCCTTCACTTCCAGCTCTGCAGCCACTTGGCCTGGCAAGCCAAGCATCGGGCTGCCGTGGCTGGCCCGGCCATTGGCGGGAGCCTCAGCTTCCGGCTGTGTCACAGGTTCTGTCAGAGCTGCAGTCTGTCAGGCAAGCTCAGTCACATCTGTGTCTGTCACAGCCTCGGTCTTCGGGCAGGCTGGTTGTGGAGGTCGGATGTCGCTTAAAATCCTGTCAGACGGGGAACCAACAAAGTCACGAATCACCCGGCTGTTGTTTCCGTTCGGACTGGCCCCCCGCCCGGTCGGCCTAAGCCGCACGCGTGAGAGCCAGGCTGCTGCTCTGGGCCGCTGCCTGTGTGGCCCTCCGCCTCTCCACGCGAGAGGCCTCGGGAAGGACTCCCCTTGCAGTTATGCCAAGATTCTGCCACAAAGATTGCCAAAGGCAAACTGCGTTCTATCTGCGACACGGAATACACCTTTGCCCAGCGCATCTATGTGCATTTGGTTCATCTGTTGACTTCGCCTGGGCAAGAATTGCAGCTCACTCTAGGACAGAAGTCAAATATAAGTGAGGCGTACTCTAGGCAACTCAGCAAAGTTGCTTCCCCATTGCTTGGCGTATTGGGGGGCTCGGTTTGCTTTTTGAGAACCATCCCTCCCACGCATCGATATCCCAAGGCCTCCAGTTCTCCAGCTCCAGTGGCTGGAGTACTGACTTGGAGTGCCCCTGACCCTTGAAAAATGGGCTGTTTGCGTTTAGGTACCGAGGCTCCAGGCAGTGGTTCCCATTCCCTTTGGCATTGTTTCCGTTTTAAACCGGCCTGCTTTTAGGAAATAGTCCAGACACCTTTGTTTCATTTGGGGGCGAGCCCGGGTAGTCTTCGTGTGCCGCCGCCTGCAGCCAGATTCTTCTATGCCCTAAGGCAAGGGAGCCACTTTTGGACAGAATGAAGTTTCTGGACAGCCACAGGGTCTGCATATTATACATACATGTACACACATCCGTATACATCAATATATGTGTGTTTTGATGTTCTAGTTAAGGTTTCCCTAATGTATTGCTGACCCGTGGCCCATGGTTGACGTTCATCTTCCTTTTTGCATTTGTGATGTACGGTTCAATACATAGTCCTTTTCCCCCGGAACATTCTACATGGTTCCCAAGCAAATCCTGCGAGAGGCTGGCAGCTGCTACACGCCGCCAGCTTCAGAGATCGAGGCTCGGCACAGGAAATCCACGGCAAGCACAGCGAGTTGGAACTTGCTCCTGAATCTGGGGACCTTTTGGATAGTGTTTGAAGGGACACCACAAAGACAACATCTATTTTATGGGCCGAACAAATTATGGTAAACTCTGAAATTAATGTGTTGAAACTGCAAAGAGGTGTCAGAACCAGTTGGACCGCTTTTCTAACGTGTCGTGGTGAAAACCTGGACTACATAATTGCAAGTTGTTTCTTCAACTTTTTTTTTTAGAAGGTTTCCCTACCTTTGACACTCAGCCGATTTAGTTGTTTCAAACTCAGCAGCCTTTTGAAGGACCCAAACTCGTGCAGATTCCCATTTGATTGGTTTCTCGTTTATTCGTGACGACTGGCTTGCATGACATTTGTTCGCAACACCCTGCATGTGTCGTCAGTTGATGCTTTTGTGCCGCGAATTGTTAAAGGTCATAGCAGCATGCTGTTGAAGCCTGTGGCTTATTTGAGCGGCGAAGGATGGTTGTCTACTTGGATAAAGAGTCAGATCTTTCTGAAGGTCTCCGCATAGTGCATGGCGCTTTCCTAGTTTTACTGCTGGACCCCTCTATTGCAGACACAAACCGTTTTGCGGCAGGTTTCGGAAAGAAGGATCCCTTGGAAGCAGGGGGGAATGTAAAGCCACGATTTGGGCAGGGTCCTTGTTTGAATCTTTGGCTATTCCGTGCTGCGACTTGTGGGTTTTGCTCCCCTCGAGGAACCGAAAGTTTTTCGGCAATCTCACAAAGGAGTTTTTTTGGCGACCTCACCCATGAAGGCGCTTGTTCAGGGAAGCCTCATTTAGATTCCCAGCACCAACTCCCGGTGGTTATTCGTAGAAACATGGGGACCCTCTGATTTTCAAGTGACGGTTTCTTTTTGGCCATTTTGAAGGAGTTTCCTGTGGGGGTGATGTTTCTGGGGGAACATACATGAAACAGCAAACATAATTTGGTCGACCAGGCAGAGTCCAAACGCATGCGTATATCCCGGGCGATTGCACTTCAGGTCCTTAGCAGACGGGGCCTCGCCATTGGGGCGAGACCCTCAGCTATGAAGCGAGCACACCTACCCACCTGAGGCTACGGAGGCTATGTGTAACTCTCCAAGTTTCTGGATCATGCCATTAGTGGAACACTAACTAGTGGGAAATGGCTGTACCGCTTGGCAACAGGAGTGGTTTGGGAGCTTAAAGCGTTCATATTTTTTCTGGCCCCTGAAGGATAAAAAAAGGCCAAGCATCATTTCTCCAGCTTTCTTGGACTTGAAGCATGCCCTGAGCTGCTGCTGGAAGCTGGGCCTAATGTTAGACACCCTAAACTTGATTTGGTTCTTCCTGTTCAATTCCAGCCAGAGGGTCCGCAACTCTGAGGCACCCGTGTTTATTCGCCAAAGTTCCTTACGTGTTCTTTCCCTCTGCCTCTTGAGGGTCGGGAGGGACTGGCACCAGATATTCAAGAAGGACCGTCAGCCAGTATTGCCTCTGCAGCTCGGCTGTTGCTACACGAAATGATCCAACCCTTTCTCTCTCAGGTGGACAGCATGAAGTTGTGTCATGGTGTTCTAGTTTAAGCTGGGACGGGAAATGGTCTGAATCTGCAATCCTTGTGTTGCTCAGTGACGCTGAATGCTGCAGTTGTTGGCAGCTGATGCCTCTTGGGAAGGTAGACCAAATAGAGCGTGGCCACATCCAACTCTGACTCTTCTGGCTAGAAAGGCTGCTGTTCTTGCAGTCGTTCTCCATGTTTTTCAGGGTGTTTACTTTCAGAAAATGTCCGAAGCACCGATAATTGAGTTGTTTCTCAAAAGAGCGATGGGTCCACAGATGTCCAAAGAATAGGGGATCAACATTTAGACAGCTGCCCTTTTGACGTCGGTTCACAAGCTCTGGAAAACCACTTTTGTGGAAAGGCGCGATGTCATACGTTCTGTCGCGGAAAGTTGGTGCCGTCACCTGACGCCGAAAGGAAGGACCATGTCATCAAGCGATGTTCCATTGGCCCGCATGAATTCTGGCAGCGTTGTGGGCACCGGCAACATCAATCGGTTTTCTCCCGCTCAACACATATGTTCAACCACAGTCTTCTCTGAGCCAGACAACTCGGCTAGATATTGGTTGTTTCTCGTTTGATGGACCCCTTCAAAACAAATAACAAGAGAATCCACTGTTCGGCTTCCCCGTTAAGGGCGTGGTTGCCCTAGCCCGAGGCAGCTGCTGCGGCCAGCCTGGACGTGTTGCCCGCAAGGGTGGCGCCCTTGCCATCCGCCGACTCAACGGGGAAATCTGTACCCTCGCTTCACAAAATGAGGGGTTCCGCGGCAGGTTCCACCAGAGCTCTTGTAAGCTTTGCCACTTCCGTTTGCTGAAGGTGATGTTTCCTGTCTAGGGACATGGCCGGGAATACACGAGCTTCTAGAACGGGTTTGGCTTGAAGTCCGTGTAGTTTTAGTGGCCGGGCCAAGCAGGTCAGCTCTCGTTTCTCTTGGCCACTAACCCAAGGGGCCTTGTTGCATCCATCCTCTCCATTTGAAAGATAGAGTTTGAGGCTGCCTTCAACATATGGCATGCAGCAGAAAGCAAGTTTGCAGAAGCCCATTTTAAGTTCGACATTTTCTGGATTGTGTGACAAGTGAGCTGCGCGCATTGAAAGGGACCGCCATGGCTGACGGAGCCCCAAGTAGACACTAGAGTCGATCTACCCATGTAAAGGGGTAGCGTGCCCTCGGACAATTATTGCCCAAACCTGTCGCATTTTGCCAGCCATGGCCCCGGCATTCGCAGAACGGAACTCGTATGATTCGGGTCGCAGGCGCCTTCTCGCAGCCGCGAGGATCGAGAGATTTTGTTGCCAGCTGTGACGGATACACCTGCACCAGTAAGCAAAACAAGCAGCTGCGGCGAGGCGAACTTTGTTTCAAGACTCAGCCCAAAGTGGAGCCAACATTCTCATGCGCGCTTAAGATGCCTGCGCTGCCTCCACGGGCCTACCCGACTTTGCTGGCGCCCCAGGATGTTTCGAGGGAAACGCTAGCTTTCACCAACAGGACGCGTGAGCGAAGATAGCCCTTGTCATCCCCACCTGAGCAGCAATCACTGCGAGAGTGTACTCCCTGTTTTGGGGGGGTTGCAAAGCTTCATAACCATATTGTAGAAAGGGTTTTGGGTGCTGCCTCCATGTTTTGCCTTATCGAGAGTTTAAGTATGGGCTTTCCAGTTTGGAGCCTCTCAACCCCGGTCGTCGTTTGAGAGGTTTGTGACGGGGTTGAGGGAGGACGTTCGTTAAGTTGCTGGCGATACGACTTCTAGAGTCTAGATGTTTGAAAGTCGCCTGAAGTGTGAGTTTGTGGCTTGCTGTCGATTCAGGTTGGGTCATGCATTTGCAACTTGATGTATGTGTTGACTAGATACAGCTTCATATAGATTCCCCTAAAGCCCGCGCCCAAAAATGTTCTTTGCGTTCGATACATCCTCACAACGGTCAATATTGTGGTCGCTCACCACATGACCATCAACTTGCCAAAGCCAGGCAGCTCCTTTTGCTTTCCCAGTGGTCAATCGTGACGGGCGATCCCCTCCCTCGCTCCGCAGGCAGCCAAGACAGCCCGGGACAACTAGTCCAGGCTACGTGGGGCCTCCGGTGCCTCAGGCGCAGACATGTTCGCGCTGACCACTTTCAGGTTCCCAAAACTGGGGCTTTGGTTTGCCGGAGGCAACAAAAACAACCACATTTGTGTGATCCCATATAGCAACATCAAAAGTTATACCCGTGGAAAGACACGATTCGGAGCACTTTTGTGCGAAAAGGACCATTGTTTGACCCAAAACGCTGCCTGTGTTTGCCTGCCTGTATGTCCTAGCGGCTGGCTGCTTCCTTAGCAAGCGCGTCTAGCAAGCGTGTCTTGCTTGCAGAGATAGATGTTTGGGACCTTGCCAAACAGAGGCTCGTTTGGAATCACAGTCGTTATTAAGCGAGTAAAATGCTTGGACATGGCAAAGGTGCGTTTTGGCCTCCGCAGCAGTTTAAAGGTGTTCCCGGGTTCCCTAATTCTTGGGGACCGATGTTTCCAACCTCGCAGCTGCTTCATTCGAGCCTTTGTTGTTGCTTTTGGTTTGGGATTCCAAAACATGGGTTGGGGCCGAAACACACCAAGAAAGAAAGGGGGGGGGGTACTGGTACACCTCCATTCCAAGGAGCAGGGCCGATTTTAAGAACGTAAGAAAGAAATACTGCAAGAAACAAATAATGAAACGGAAGCAACAAGTATATGACAAACACATACTTGAATAGATAAAGAAAGAAGGACAGAAAGAAAGAACAACATAATTTCAGCATAACGGAAATAAAGCAAGAAATAACCAACTAAACAGCTACAGAGAGAGGGAGAGAGAGAGAGAGAGAAGCCGAATACTGGAAGAAAGAACGAAAGAAACAACGAAAGCATGAAATGAAGACAGAACACAAGCCATAATGAAAGAAATAAATGCAAAAAGAAAGAAAACAACGAAGAAAGAACAAAGCAACTTTCATATATAAATGAAAGGAAGCACGCAATACATCAATACATGCATGAAAGGAAACACACAATACATACATACATGAATAAATAAAGAAAGATTTGGTGGGAGGGAACCCTGTGTCAGGCTTCCGCTTGTTTTCCCCTTTACCCAGCAAATGGAACACCAGGCACCAAAAAGGGGATCCCTCAATGAGGAGGTTTTGTTGGCAGCGTTCCTTTCACCTTCTGAGGTGACCATGGGTCAAAGCCAGGGCTACCAGAGCTACGGCTATGGAATGACACCTGGCAGGAGGCTTTAAGATGTTCGACACCCTCCGTGGGCTGTGTGTTAAGATAATCAAAAGGTAAAACCAAAGTAAAGGGCGCTGCTTATGTGTCGGTCACACACCCCAACACAGCACCTAGCCCTCTCTCGGGATTTCTTACGAGGTTCGTTGACACCCGGTTTACCTAGTACCCAAATAGTTTACATTGACTTGAATGACCAGGGGAACCTATAGCTCCGAAATAAAAGCACTACCAGGGCTAGATCACAACACGCAACACATATTCCCTCCCTAGGGGCCGACATTGTATGCGGGTGGGGTCATGAAGAAGCGATCAATCTGTGGTTTTCGGGTGTGTATCCGGTTTTTGAGGAGCTCCTTTGCATTTGAGCATTGCTTCAGGGAAAATGCCAGGCAAGGCGCTGGATCAAAGCAACTGTACCGAAAGGGCCAACAGGCGTCCGCTTCCCATGGCTGCGATGCGGGCTGTGGCCACAAGTCAGCTGTGGCCACCGCCCGGTTGGCAAAGCTGGGCTTCGGCCGAACCCGCGTGCCGTAAACAAGGGTTGGCAGCCAGAAAGGTGCCACCCTCATCCTCTGGCTCTGATTGGTTTGTGTAGAAGATGGCCGAACATCCGAGGGCTGGAAGCGATGGGAGAGGGCTGCATGGAAGACCCGCTGCAGGGAAGGGACGAATCTAACTATCCGGTCCCTTTCTTTGCCCAGGTGTGCAAAAGGCACCTGTTAGCAACGCTTCCGGATCCAGAGATTGCCCTTTCCATCTTGAAACCAATATCTGCACTGCCGCAGGTGGTCCCCTTATTTTTCAAACGAGGAGCGTCAAACGGCAAATTGGAGCCAAATTCACAAAAGCAATGGATACTGCCCGGATGTTGGCCAAATGGATCACCAGAAACATGCACCTGGAGTTCTGTATGACCCTGTTCGCATGGGGTCATTACTTTCGCTGGAACGGAACCGCATTTGAGGCTGACTGCCGCGGCCCCCTCCTGGATCCCCAGTGATTGGACCGGCGCGGCCAGCCAGGCAAGCCGCAAGCTTCGCAGGGGGAAAGCGAAAGCAACCAAAAAGCATGAGGTCAGAGAGAGCGGGAGGAAGCAGTACCCAAAAACCAAGATATGTGACGGGGTTTTCGGCTCCTCAGGAAACAGCTAGAGACAGAGAGACAGAGGGAGAGTTGGCCCCTGTGTGGCTTCCCAGATCCAACTTTGCATGCGAAGTGCATGATTGATTTTACTTTTAGATCCTTGCGACATAAGGTGACATGAAAGTCGGTCGAGTATGAGTCACTAGTGTATTTGCTACTGTACCAAATGCTCTGCATTGGTGTGTGAAGAAAGCCTGGGCTTCGTTTGGTGTTTGACTTTTCCAAGAACCATTTCTTGGCCTGATGAAGGTTAACATGAGCCCCAAAAAGGGTCCCCCAAAGAGATCACGCTACTGTAACGAAATGAAATTGTTCCCGTATCCCTGCGAAGCCTTATTTGTTTAGAACCAATGCTCGACGGTTCACAGTCTCAACTTGCACTTGCTTCGCATGTGTTTCAATGGGCAGGGTTGCAACATGGCTAGAGCAACACTGCTGGGTTTGGCTCAGGTCAGGCTTCTTAGCAGAATGGTCTCCAATCGGCGCTGCATGGGGGGTGCACTTTTTTGGACATCGTTTGGAATAGTGTGGGACAGAAACCTTGAGAACAATCAAAACGCTAAAAAGAAAGACACACCCCATGCTCCCCCCACCAGGCCCCCCTTGATTCTGCAATTTGGTGAATGCGTTTCCGAAGGAGTTTTCTGAACATTTGCATAGTCTAAAATCGAACTGCATAAGGAACCAAATCAAGCATACGTGTGATCTTCAGCTAATGCTTAGATTCGTTTAGATAGGACTTCCTTTCCAAATAAAGTTTAGCTAGATTCCAATCGGAATTCAGTAAGACCGCCTCGTTGGTTTCTTCTAACTGCCCCTTACAAAGATTAGGAACATGCACTTTCAGTCCTATTGGCGTGCATGGTTTATATGTTCATTCTTAAGTATGGAAGTTCCTCTTTAAAAAAGTGTATTCCTTTGCAAGTGAATATACTCAACATGTAGTTAGGATTTTAAACGGAACTTGTTAACTAGGGAAATCCTTTGAAAATGCGTGTTCTTAAGAATCTAATGGCTTTTTATTTTCTGGGCCTGCGGCCTCTAGCCGGCTACGCCTCTTTGAAGTTATACCATGTCATGTCATGTTTTTTGCATGAGAAACGTAGCGTGTGCTATGATATGGCTGGTTAGGTTATGCATGTTGCCCACCTTAACCCCAGATAATGCCGGGAATGCCGGCTTTCTGGGCCCCATCCGGGCCCCAACCCAGAAGGCTGACATCGGGTCGCGCGCGCGCGCGCCAGAGGACCCAAAAAAAGCAGCCCAAAAAGAGCAGCCCGCAAGCCAGGCCGGAA